ACGCGTGTACGTGTGTGTAATGCACGTAGCATGATCTTTTTACGGCACGTTCCGCCGCAGCCGCGAGAGAAACTGCTTATAATGGTCTTTAAATTCAAAGTAAAGCCTCGTTCTTTCTCTCTCAGTGGCGGCGTAGCAGCGTTCCCGTACCACGCCGTAAATCGCGCCGACGACGCACAGGCCGAAGCGCGAAATATAAATTAATTTGCCCCCTCCTTGCCTCCCGCCCGTCGACGACTTGACTGTTATACACACGGCACCAGTGAATTGCTGAAAATCTCCCATTCGCTTCGACGGCAAAAGGCACGAAATAAAAACAAACACACAGATAGAGGACGCAATGCAATGGCGCAATTCCAAATGTGATCAGTTCGCAAGAGGTGTGTGTAGTTAGTAGAGGCATTCGAATGCAAATGGGTGCTTTTTGAAAGGCAGATCGAGAGGAAAAAAGAGAGACAGAGAGAGAGAGAAGAATGAAAATCACGTGCAGCTGAATTAATTAGCTTCGTTCAGCGCGCAAGGGATAATTAGATTATCAATGATGCCCCCACGGATAGATGGTCTTTTGGTTGCCTGCATGAATGTTTTCATATGTAAATTGGAGGTATGAGCGCGAGATTGCGAGATTGCCAATGGACAACAAAAAAAATACATATAGCAGGTTTTACTTGGAAATGGAGGGCGAAGCGAGCAATTTGCGCCAGTACACATATACATCGACGCGTAAGAGAGGCAGCTAGCCAGCGAGCGAGAGAGAAAGAGAGAGAGAGAGAGTTACGGCATTGTGTTCTTTACACGCGGCTGTTGCGCCTAGCTGCAACAATTACCAAGTCGTTTTCCACGCGTTGCAACACAACATGACGCTCGTGCGTTTCACACCCGCGCGCGCCAACGCACTTTTCGTGTCGAGACCGAGACCTATAAGCGAGAGAGACAAAAAGAGCGGTCCATTAAAGCTGACCGCAGCCGATGATTGACGCATAATACCGAGAGAGCGCACACGCCTCTCAATCAAGCCATTAGACGCTCGGACGACGCGTTTCTAGATAGAAGCCGATCTCGGCTATATACGTCTGGCGCACGGTTCGTTGACCGACAACCATTTTCGATACACGTTTCTCCAAATGCATCAACCGAGATTTCACGGAAATCTGTATTACATTTTATGCAGTGCAGGACTGATCGACGGCTAATTTGATGAGGCTCGTTGCCAAGCAACGATGAAAAGGAAAAAAAGAGTCGACTAAGAAGATGAAGTAAGCCGAATGCCGCGCAGCGGTCGAGCGCGAGAAATTGGCAGGATACTGCTCGAGAGCCGATAGAAAGTCTGACGAAGGAGAGAATAGAGCCAGAGATGAGACTGGACTGACTACCTTCAGCTCCAATCTCAGCCCCGGCTAAGATTAAACCTGCGAGAAAAAGAAATTCGAGTCGAGGGAGAAACGAAAATTACGGATGGCCGGCGTTGCAGCTTCGGGAATGATTTTGACAACGATGAATATTCGATTGATTCATTTTCGCTGTCGTCGATTTATATCGTGATGAAAATTGTTTGAACGTCGGCAAAATTGAAAGATTTCCAAACGTATAATTAGAAAAAATTAAAAAATTGGATTGAGAGAGATACTTTATCGCATAAAAAGGACGATCGAATTATTCATTCCGGGCGAACGAAAGAGAAAAAAAGACGGATAATAGGTTCCAAAGTAGTCGGAAGATTTTTAATTTAACACAAGTCACTCACAGGACGGTCTTTTCCGTTTAAATAACAGAATCTACAGCAAGTGCGACTTTTACCGAAAGGAGTAGGTTTTTTTAATATTTTTTGCATCTCGAAGTTTCCCTGTGGACGATCGAAAAAAAAGAAGTAGGAACAAGAAAACGATAGAAAGAGAGAGAGAGGGAGAGGGGGGGGGGGAGCGGACGTCTACAATTTCGAAGGCACAAGCCATTAAAAATCGCAGAGGGATAATTGGCTCGCTCGTGCGAGCAGAAAAATAACGCAGCGAAGACACACGGGGCCACTCTAGGAGTAATTTCATAGGCCGAAGAAACGGTCGCGTTGAAATAAACAATCTCGTAAAAAGACGTTTTTCGCGCGACTTTGGATTTCCGACCACACAGCAGTTTTCTCAATAGCCCAACCTTGAACAGCTGCTGCGTCCCGCGTCGAATACGAGAGTCGAGAGCATTTTCCGAGCGATGCATTCTGATGAGACACTGTCATTTTTTTCTTTTTGTTTGCTCAATGCTGATCGTCTCGACACTCAATTAATTGTTTACCTGTAAATACATCTGACCCTATACGCTGTAAATAAACACTATTAATATTTTCGTTCGATAACGTTACAACACACTTTACGTGTGTCAATACAGCGATAATTCGAGAAAAGTCAGTTGGGTTCGAAGAAAAACGAATGCCAGCGGTCGCCGTCTTTTTTCTGTCGTGTCGCGCGCGAGTGCGATGTTCCTCGGACGATCAAATAAACGAAGCCGAGCGAGGAAGAGAGAGAAGCCGACAGTTTGTTTTGCGATACGCTCACGGCGGACAAGCGGGGAGGCGAGCGCACGAGTGAAACTTTAATCTCGTATATCCATCTCATCGGCTTAAAAAACAACACGCGGCAGCAGCCCAGAGAGCGCATTACACGCACGGCACGTGAACTTTGAGTAAACTTGCGCGCGGCAAAAATCCCGTGATATAAATTTTTAATTCGCTCGTGGTGTGTTATCTAGCACTGCCGTGTGTGAATGTCGTTTTACTTATTCCTGCCACGACTCTAACCGCCCCACGATAACGCCTGTTTGGTTTCTAATTAAAATTCTTTTTCGTGTAATCCTAAGTCTTTTTTTCTGTTTCGAGAGGAATGGAAAATTTTTGACGTGACTTCTGCTTGCGTGCCCTCTCGATTGTTAAACAAATCTTGAAACCTTTTTCGAGCACCGGATTTCAAGTCGATAAAGTATCGAAAATTAGTTCTCGGAACACTTGGGGGCCACGGACGAACGAGTGACTAAAGTGCTTGTTTTTCATCGAATAGCTAGCTTCTGCTCTTCTCTTTACATTTGAAAAAAAAATTAGGTCGACTCGAGCAAAAACAGAACGCCAAACTTTTCTGTCTCTGTCTCTCTCTCTCTCTTTCTCGCGTGTACACATGCAAAATCTGGCTACAAACAAAAATCAACAAGCTGATAAATGAAAGTGTGCTATGTTTTCGACTTCCCGAGGGATTCGTATACATACTTTTTTTAAACGTTATCCACATTTTCAAGGTGAGCCTGAGCTCCATGCGCGAGCGGAGTATCGTGCAGCGAAAAAAAGCATTGCCCTTCGAGCGTTAGTGGTTTGTTTACCTTTGGCGAGCGCGCGACTTCGAAAGTTTTCTAGCTCATGTTTTCGCCGCGACGATGTTTTTCGTGCTCGTATGTGTGTGTGTGTGTGTGGGACTCACGTCGTTGTCGTCGTCGTGATGGCACATAGGAGGAACTCGAATGAACCGAGTGGTCTTGTCTTTGAAGTCGGCCAACCAGATAAATACGGCATAAAAACAAAAACGTAACGTCAATCGCCTCTCCCCCCATCAACGGAAAGAAGTCTTATTTTATGTTTCTTGTACCCGCAGACGACGTAATTTTTTCTCTCTCCCCCTATCTCGCTTGTTTTCGATCCCCAAACTTGTTATGTTTAGAAGAGCTCATACTGAGGATCAGTTACAAAGCTTCATTTAATTAGTAAACAAAATATATCAATATATTTTAACATAAATCATGTGCACAGCAAACTATTTCTCAACAAACATTTTCAAGGCACATTAAAAAATGTCATACTAAAATATTAAAATTCTTGGAGAGACATTTTCTAAATTTACTGCAGTTGCATTCTTTTAATAATAAACAAGTAGCACTCTCACTCAAAAGCACTCGATGCAAAAATAGTATTTTCAAAAACCGTACACTTTTTTCTAAACAATTTTTTTTTTTTCAAAGACAAATAAATGACACTGTTCTACGTGAAAAAAAGTTTAACACAAACTTAATACACAACCGACATGAAAAAGTGGAAAAGCACCGAAAGTCAAAAATATGATAAATACGTTTAAGAATCGAGCTACATATGAGAGAACCGACGACTTGAGTACGATGTACACGAGACAGCAGAAGCGGCATCGAGATTGGCAAATAAAGTTATCGAGAGCAAAAAGGAGCCAGGAATGAAACGCGCTTGCACTTTTAATCGCCAGTTCTTAAAGCGAGTATGTATATGGCATGCAAGATTTTGCCAAGTCGCGTGGAGAGCTCGGCCGTCGGCCTGCCACTCGATTCGAGCAGTTCGGCTTTAAGATACTTCAAGCTGCGCGCCGCACTTTGTGTACACTTTACCAACACTTTTTTCGAGGTTCGGAAATTACATTTTTCTCACGATTCTCCTTCTAACACCTTAGAACTATCTTTTCTGACAAACGATATCCATCGATTTTTTACAAACTTTAATACAACTACGTACGAACGCAATATGTTCAATTTTTTTCATTTTTAAATATTTCACTACTTTTCGAATTGAAACCAATCGTCAAAAAAACAATTGTTCTAAATTGAAAAAATTGGCAAAAAAAGCGAAACGCACGAGACATATCAAATGAGCAAATCTACACAAACATATCACCACAACGTCAATCAGTTGAGAAGCTTGTGTTCGCTCGCCCGCTCATTCTGGATGACAGTTCGCACTTGGCACTGAGCTTTCACGGCCACGCGGGTTCGAGGAGCGAGAGAAAAAAACTTGTCGCTGGCGCGCGCACGTGCAACGAACCGGGAAGACGAAAATTCACCAAGACCTTGAACCGTGTCACCGGTGTCTCGCACGCGCTCGGTTGCGGCGTTTCCCCTTGAACTTGATCGGTCAGCGCACTCGAGTTAGATTTTTTAGAAATGCAGAGAGACAATAAAATGAGAAGGAAAGGCCAAAATTAGAAGCGTTGGCATGGCTGCGTGTTAATTACCTGTGTGGCATCGGAGTATGGCGTCGAGGAGTTTTTGTCGACGAGCAGGGAGCCGAACATCGGCAGACCCGAGCTCGAGGGGCTGTCTTGCTGCTGTGGCACCATTTTTGCGAGCTGATGATGGGAGAGCTCGTCGAAAGTGGCGCGCGCGCTCCAACTTCCGCGCTCACTTCACTTTTGACTTCTTAATTATCACCACACTCGCGATAAATCCTGCTCCTACGGCGATACTTTAATGGTGTGGTACACCTCCTTCTCGCCGTTTGACGAGAAGGTCCGGCTGTCTCTTCTCGAGTACACCAAGTTTTTCTCGGCTATGCACGACAAAAAAAAACGGTAAACGATAATTGCTTTGCGTGCAATAGGAGAGCGCAGTGATTAATAACCGATGCGCACGACGGATCGACAGTTTCACAGTTTTGTGGTCTCTGGTGCAGCTGCTCTACTGTAACATTGCTTTCGAGTTACACTAGTCAAAGTGCACAAGTCAGACCGACAGTCACTTCGTTGTCAAGTCGCGTGTGTGATTAACTAAAGTAGAGCTGGAGATCTCGTGTCTGAGAGAGATGCTCATCGGACGAGCGCTCGTGTGCTACTGACTGGTGCGTTGCCGAGCACCGCTTACTATACTCGACTGCTGCGCTGCTGCTGGCAGCCAAGCCGGCCCATCAGCTGGTGCCGCCGCTGCCGCTGTGCTCCCCACCACCATAGCCACCGCCGCCGCAGCCGCCGTCGCTCGCGCTGCAATTCGAGTGGGAGAGATGGCGCGCGCGCACAGGGCACACACGCTGCGTTCATCCCCTCTATGTACTCGCCATTTCTTACCTTCCTTGTACTTTACCCTGGAAACTCCGCACGATTTACGCTCTCGCTCTCTGCGCGCTGCACCAGTCTGCCGGAGTACGTGCTGCTGTCGTGTCTATCTCTTTCCCTATACGCACACGACTCTTCTCTGCTCCATGTGTACATATGTACATATCGTGCTTTGAGTACAGTCAAAGTCGGACTAAAATTGAAATCACGGCGAAAATGGAATAAATTGACTTTTTATATATATTTTGGACTGAAGATTACAATTTTCATGTTGGGTACGCGCAAATTTGCACCGTTCCAACGGTATCAGCGAAAAACTATCAAAAGTTTAAGGTTTACCGCAATTATCTCTGCACCTAACGAAAATCACGAAAAAAGTTTCGGACAAATATTGTAGATTTCAGATTACACATCGAAATGAATTATTAGTCTTGAATTTTGTGGAGAAAATTTTTCTGGTTTCCTAATTTTTACCGGTTATTCCCAAACAGCTGACGCGCGCAGTACACTTTTGCGTCGCCGCTTACTTTGCTCTCGTACAACTGGCAACACTGAGTGCAGCTGCGGCATTTGAATTTGAACCACACCACAAAACACAGAACTAATACCATCAGTGTTGGCAGCCATGCGAGAGCGAGAAGAAGCGTACTGCATACGTCAGCTTCCGGGCTACAGGGAAGAACCGTGTCAAAATTAAGAAAAGCGGAAAAACAGTTGAGTCTTTTAACATATACCATCAAACTCGATAAGTAAATTCAAAATTTTCAATATTGCTGCAAATTTACTTTCGTAATTTTAATTAGTTGCTGACATAATTACAAAAAAACCTTCGATTTTGACAGTTTTCCACAAGTACTGTTGAAACGGTGGAATAATCTCCAATCTAAAATACATTTTCGAAAAAAGTTCGACATTTCCGCCGCGATTTCGATGTCAGTCCTTCGTTGACTAGACTAAATGTCATCGACGCGACGACTTTATGGTCATGGCCTACGTATGGTATGGAAGCGTTTATGGGGAAACTTTGTATTTCGTATTTTTGAGGGTTTTTCGTTTATAAGCACATTTTCCTCGTGCGATTGGATTGGGAATGGTGCATAATTTTTTTCTTTCGTGGTGCACGAACGTGAGAAAATGCTACCTGCACATTCGATCGAGTATTTTTTTACTAAATCGAGAAAAAAAAATGCATACTTCAACTCAATTACTGTTGATCAAAGATTAGAGTTTTAAACCGGATCGTGTCAGAATCCGTGACGTTATTTCAGATTGTGTAATTTTGTTAATTATCGTGATTTTTTTCCGAAATATTGAAATAAAGATAGTTTATTCAAAATGCAACTTTCAAATTGATTAAATGATTTCGTGAGATGTGTGTAAACCGAATTTCACGTAACCCTGTGTGTATATATGCGCATGAACTTGTTACAAGTTATTTATGAAGTATATGCGAAAAGCGTACGCGATAGAGCATAAATACAAGATTACGACTTATTAAAGCGATTTTTATGTACGCAGATTATTTCGTAATGGCAAGAGCCGTTATTTATAATTGCACTCTTTGCATTATGAAACTGCAGTTTTGCCTGCAACCAATTACTGTGATCTCCTAGCCTCAATATTTATTGCATCGAACATTGAAATTGATTTATTTTTGTGGAAGTTGTAAAAAGTCTTACTTAAGCCAAGCTCTCCATACACACGTACGTAACAAAAAGTATATTCTTGGAATAAATTCATCATCTGATTATTTGCTAAAATTTGAAATGATGTAATTGGCAAGCTTTTGGTGCAAGCCAACAGAAATATGTATATGTTTTAGAACCATGAATGATCGAGCGACGCCATTTGTAGGTGATTCGGTCAGATCGGCATCGTCATTGTTTTCATAATCTAAAAATCCAAGAGACGTACCGTTCAGTTTCGGAAATCAAGGAGAGAAAATCTAAAATAAAAATGTGACGAGTGACACGAGAGATAGTAAAATGAAGAAGAAAAAAAGCGAGTAAAGTGCAGTACAAGATTGGTGAATGACACGAGAAAAATGCTAAGAATCGCGAGTAGCGACGTGCCGCTAATTTTAACGATTTCCTAGTTCTGCACCAAGGCGAAGGTCTTTCCCGGCATGTCTCTCCCTCCCACCGCAGCAGTCGCACGCACAATCCACGTTCCCGCGATTTCACGTCAAAGATGCTCCCTCTCTCTTCGCGGCTCTGTGCAGTAAAGCATAGCAGGTAGAGTAGATCTCTAGCACGCGCGCTCTTCTTGGCTCTGCGCTAATTGTCGTCGTTCGCGGGCGCGCGCGTCATACACCGCCTAGCGACACGCCGACCTCGAATCTAGTCAATCAGCCAATCAACGGCCATCGCCAAGATCCACAATGTTTACTTTAACTCTTTCGGAAATTGGGATCTGGCAGAAAGCAGCTCGAGAGGCTACCCATACGCTCTTTATACTGACAAGCTGATTGAGCTCTTGAATTTTAACACAAATAATTATAGATGATTAGTCACGTGGCGTGTGGCTTTTGGCCGCTTCGCCAGCTTTTTAAAATGTAAGACAGATCTCGTTCATTATGCTTCTGGGAAGATGCAGCGAATTTGCGTCAAAAGCCGGCGGCAGAGATAGTTTTCGCGCACCAGGCGGAGTGGTATAGGAAAAGCAGCGCGACGCGCCTTGAATTTGTAAAGAAACGCGGCGCAGCCAGGAAGCGAGGCGGATGTGCGCGCGGCGACAATTTACGCGGATTTTTAGAGTGGTGCGCGCGCATAGCGACGAAGGCCGGCAGATAAAGAAAGAGATCGATGCTCGTGTGCACGCGTGTATATATATGTGGGGCATTAATCGGCTAGCTCAATGCCGAACCTCGCGCGCTCAAAGTCATCGACGCGTCACGTTCCAGCTTCGTCGAGGTGCACAGGGGAGCCATTACGACCGACGCAGACTTTGTGCACTGGCGCGTTATCGCCTTTTACCTGAAGCGCACGTGCGCTCGCCGGGCAATGTTGCGAGGCGAGCGCGGCTCGTGAATCTCACCGATATATACGTGTTATTTTTATTGGAGGTTCATTCATTTGTCTGGCATTGCGCGTACAATGGCAGATATTTTATTATGAATTGCCAAAGCAATACCGTCGGGCACGAGCGCGCGCGCGCGCTTTGTCATTTTTTTCGCTCAAGATTATGTTGCCTTTTAGACAATCTTGTTCAATCTTGTTTCAATGTTACTCGATTCAAGGAAATATTATTGTAGATAATTTTCACCTAATAACTTCCTCAATAATTGTCGATTCGTCTTCGATAAGTCATCAATTTTTTCGAATTATTACTTCCGCCTGAAAATGAAAATTTAATCATGTACTCGCAAGAAGCACAAGCACGAAAGCGAGTCTTCCGAGCGTGGCATATTTTCACGCGTTTTTTCTTACATTTACGTAGTTTACGGCAATTTTCGTTAAAGAAAAGATATTACATTACAGGTAAGAAAACATTACGTTCTAATTTTGCGAACATGACTTTACCATACTTTTTCTATGTGTGTTCTATAATAAAGTGCACCAAGCGCAAACTTCGCGTGACTTCTGAGAAGTTATACACATACTGCTTTCATGCAAAAGTTCTACTTCGTGTCTCTTCCTGTCTCCTTTTTTTGTATAAGTACGTATACCTTTTGTTTTTTTTTTCTTCCGAGTTTTATTTTCTTACGGAACGAAGATACGCCACGCCAAGGGCATGAATAGAGTATTATCTCGCGTACATTGAAGCTCACATGAGACAGTCTTTTCCACGAATTCTTATGAATTTAGAATAAACGAAGCAACCGTTACGTGTCTCTAAATAAACTTTTATCCAATAAATACAAGGGTCAGTTATTCTTAGAATTTTGCGAAAACCTGTTCCATAATATACAGAAAGATTGAACCGGCGGTTGTTCAATGCAGAACTAAAAGTGAAATGTAATAAAAATGCCAGCTGCAGAGATTACAGTTAATTTTTATTGCCGTCGGTCACAAAAACATTTTATGGCTATTCAATAAAAAATTGGTAAATCAAAAATGAAGCTCAGATATTCACCCTTAGCGTTCTCTTTTTTCCACAAGGGGTAGTGTACCCTAAGGGGTTCAGACGCGCTCTTCCGACACACACATACACACATAATAGCCGATGCAGTTAAACATTTTTTCTATCGGTTTTTACCCCAAATAGTGCCGTAACATTTCCCCAAAAAAGGCCATATGAGTGCTCTAAAATTTTTCAAACACTATAGGCTAACCTTTTTTTGCGCGAAATTTTCTCATTGTGATACTCTGTCCCCCCCCATCTCAATTTATTGTTGGATGAGATCATAAGATAGAAATTAGAGCTTTCTGCAGCATTTTCAATACCTTTTTTCCGATCATTTCCTACGATTTATAGATCACTTAAATCTTCTCGCTCTGCGCACCAAGCTTTCCATTATTTATAAAATACGATTCGTTACTCTTGAAAAAATTATATTTACGGGTTTGTTTTTCTCACCACTTTTCCAGCACGGTCTTTCTTTAGCTTTTTTAAGCTATCATTTTTTTTTCTTCTAACCAACATAAATGACTTACGTTTCAGTACAAACTGTACAATTACTTTTACACAAATCAAATGGCGTGACGCCATCGAAAAATCTGATGATTTGAACGGTGCATGAACGGTTCAACGGTGCTATCGACTCGGAATTTTTTTGTTTCGAATTCAAGACGGATCTGCCGGAAGCTCATTTTACGATCGACGGATTATGCAAGAGGCTGCAGGGCCATAACCTTTTGCAGGCGACACGTTGCAA